TGGCTGTGGGGTGCTACGTCTGCTTGGTGCCACCTCTAATTAGATGCCACCTCCTCTTGGGTACCACTTCTGCTCAGATGCCACCTCCAGTGGGGTACTACTTCTGCTTTGGTGCCACCTCTGTACAAATGCCACCCCTGGGGTGAAAAAGAGTGGGGCCAGAACCCACAGCACCGAGGAAGCTGCTGTGATGCCTCAGGGCACCACAGTGCTGGGGGAACTGGTCACACCATTTAGTTTCACCAGCACCTAGCCAGGCACAAGCACGTCTCTGCTGGCATGGGCACCCAGGAAAGCCTGGCTGGGAAGCGAACAGCAAAGGAGCAGGTATTAGGAAAAAGCTCTTCCCTGTGAGGATAGTGGGACACTGGCACAGGGTGCCCAGAGAAGCTGTGGCTGCCCCATCCCTGGCAGTGTTCAAGGCCAGGTTGGACACAGGGGCTTGGAGCAACCTGCTCTAGTGGAAGGTATCCCTGCCCGTGGCATGGGTTGGACCTGGAGGAGCTCTAAGGTCCCTTCCAACACAAACTAGTCTATAAGAACACACAAAATAGATGCGCATTCCCAGGGTGGGACTTTCTCCCTCCATCCTCTTCCCCTGCAGGTTGGTGGCACCCTTTGGAGGAGATGCCTGGGAGGAAGCTCCAGCAGGAGCCCAGCTCTCAGCATGGCTTTGGGGTTGGGATACAACCCCGAGCACCAACAGACCATCCGCACTTGCCCAGGGGCCAGGGCAGCTCCAGTAGGGACCATCCATCACCTTGCAGCCACTTTTTCCAAGTCGAAAAGCTAAATCCAGTCTTTGCTTTATTTTCATGCAGTAGATGTGACCCAGGAGATCCTTCCCTACCCACCATCTAGCACAAGTCCTGTTTGTGAAAGGGAGCATCTCCACATGCAGGTGCTGCCTGCAGTGATAAAGCTCACTGAGACCAAACTCCCAGCCAGCAGAAAGGCAAAGCCAGCGTGCTCTGCCTGCTGCAGCCACCACCATGGTGCCAGCTCTTCACCCCTTGAAGCAAAAGAGCAAGCAAAGGTCACTGATAGGGATTTGGTCCCTCTTCCCACCCAGCCAAGAACAAAGATGTTTTGGGATGGGTCCAAACACAGATGTCTGTGTCCACCGAGTGTCTGTCAGACAGTTTGGGGTCTGCAGGAGGGAGATCAGCTCCGCTCAAGACACTCTCGGATGAAACAGAGTGTCTGCAAGATCCAATTTCTTTTCATTCTCCCCTCTTCCCTCATGAAAATACATGTTTGGGGTCTGCGGGCGGGAGAGGACGTGTCTGGAACAGAGATCAAAGAAGCAGTAGGATCCAAGTCGTGGTTGAAGCCCAGCCGGAAACCCAGAACCACGCAGCCACTCGCTCACTCCCGCCACTTCTTCCTCCCCCCGCACCCAGAGAAGAATCGGAGGCATGTAACTCC